TAAATATCAGTATCAGAATCAGCCAATTTGCTAGTTAAAAAAAAAAAGAAAGAAAGAAAAAAATCAGAATTCTGAATAAGCTATGATCGGAGCATCACTAATTAAAATACTAAGTAAAAGGCCTCAAATTTGAAGTACAATCTGGGATGTCTATTTCTATCAATTCTTCAATAGGTAGATCTTGTCTTTCATAAAGGCCGAGTTCAGGGATCTTGGGCCTAAAAAGGTTGGTGACCACTGATTTACATCATCAGTTATAAAACTCTTCTTTCAGCTTCTACAGGAAGAACACAAAGACACTCAGTGAGTTTTTCTGCTTGTTTTCTTACTGACTTACATTGTAGGAAGTGGTTCCTGGTTCTGGGAACAATGTTGGTCGTTTTGTGCATTTATGACACTATAATTTATGTTTTGTTACCTTGAAGAAAAAAACACTTGTTAACACTTGTTTGCATGTTTCTGATACATCTGCAGATTTTACATCTTTCTCTCTTCTGACCAGAACAATCAATCTCATGATATTTTGTAAAGTCCTAGAAACACTATTGTGGAGCAAATAGGAACACAAAGATGATATTTGTTGTAGTTTGCGTTCACCACTAGAGACGTTTACAAACTATGATGACCTGTGCTTCTGAGAACCTCAGAAATGTCCATCAGACACTGAGAAAACATCTAGTGGAAGATCAGGAAATATTAGAGATGTAAATGTTGTTTCATCAGAACACATGGATACGCTCAGGAAGATACTCTTTACCCACTAAATGATGTAGTCCCGACAGTAACCAGCAGAGATCAAACTAACCAAATAAACCTTGAGCTCTGATGTCTGCTTCAGTCACATCACCTGCTGTCAGGACGAACAGATCCTGCTTCTATCACTATGAGCTGTTTAAAATACATTCATGCTTTTATTCATCAAGGACACATTAAACTGATCAAAGGTGATGATAAAGACATTCATAATGTTACAAAAGATTTCTATTTCAAATAAATGCTGTACTTTTGAACTTTCTGTTCATCTGTGAATCCTGAAAAAATAAAAGGTTTCCACAAAAATATTGTGCAGCACAACTGTTTTCAGCATTGATAATAATCAGAAATATTTCTTGAGCAGCAAATCAGCATATTAGAATGATTTCTGAAGATCATGTGACACTGAACATTATGTGCGCATCCGTGGAAGTGCCCTCAGTTTGTTTAAATCTTTTCTTACTGACAGGACCTTTTCAGTTGGCATTGGAGGCTCCGTCTCATCCATAGCTCCTCTTACCTGTGGTGTTCCTCAAGGATCCATTTTGGCCACAACTCTGTTTTCATTATATACTGTATGTTACCTCTAGGTTCTATTCTTAGAAGGCATAGAGTATCTTTTCACTTGTATGCAGATGACACTCAAATTTATCTGCCTTTTAAGCACACAGACAAGAAAAGCTTAGAAACCTTGCTTGCCTGTCTAAATGACATAAGATCCTGGATGTCCTCAGATTTTCTACACCTTAATGCGAGTAAACCTGAAGCAACTGTGTTTGGGCCCTCTGTGGGGATAGAAAAAAACATTGCCAATGTTGGAAATCTGCACTCTAATATCAAACCAACTGTGAAAGGTCTGGGAATAACTCTGGCCTCCTACTTTAAGTTTGATCAACACATAAACACAGTAGGTATATTTCTCTTCATGAGTAAGAGATCAGAGAATGTCTTCAGGTTTTTAACGTCACACGATGATGTTGTGAAGCAGAAATTTTCCATTACTTTTGGTTTGATATAATAACACTTGTTGATGAAATCTGAGCATTGAAACATACATAACTAATATTATTTAATAAATCCTGCCCATTTGATCATCACTTGTCTCCTGCTTTCTGCTCTTCCCTGGATTCCTCTGTTAACCTCTCAGGATGACAGAAGACTTTGAGTTAACACAGTTTTGAGTCTCAGACTAAACAAATGTCTTCTGACAGGATCTGGTACAAAAGTACAAGAAAAATCTAAATAGAAAAGGAGCAAATAAATATTAAAAATCGTTCTATACTGTATGTTGAGGTCAGAGGCGTTTCCAGTCGTCAGCAGATGTTGTTCTCCAGACATGAGCTGGGGATGTTTTGGCCTCTAACAGGCTTTAGCTGTATTTTCCCTCTGATGTAATGCACACACACTCACACTCAAACACACACACACACACACACACACACACACTCACTCACACACACACACACACACACACACACACACACACA